CATTTAAAAAAAGATGGCTCAACTCTAAAATGTGTGTGTATGTAACGGGTGGGGTCTTTATTGCCGCGCCTACATATATCTTCTATGTGAGTACCTCTTAGGAAAGGCGGCGCTTCATCAACAATAGTCGATTATGAACATGTGTTCGTTAAAAGTCTTCATCTGAACAATGTCAATATTGGCAGGCCATAATAATGGAAACTATGTCTTGTCATCCTACTCATGTATTACTCAAGTCCTGGTATCACTGACATGGTCCTTAAATGGTTTGAATCGTATCTGGGACATCGATGGCAGTCTGTTTCCATTAAAGGTACTACTAGTAAACAATCCCAACTACAATTCAGGGTGCCTCAAGGCTATGTACTTGGTCCCATACTTTTCAAATTTACTTATCTCCATTAGGCAATCTCCTTCGTCAACACAACCTGCAGTTTCACCAGTTTGCAGACGATAATCAGCTATATCTTGCGTTTCATCATAATATTATAGTTCAGCAGTTAACTCAATTGAGGCCTGTGTCTATGATATGATGGAATGGATGGTACACTCAAAAACCGAAGTATCGTCACCCGGTCGAAATTTAACAAGTTTCCTAATTCAATCGGCAATGTCACCACCAAATATAAATTGAAAACATATGGGAACGTGCCTTTTCACAAGCTGCTTATTAACACCCTTCTTCCGTCTGACATGCGTTAAGTCACTGACGTCAACTTATTTAGAAAAAGACTGAACACATATTTATCGAACAAAACCTACAACGTGGAATAACTCCCTCAGCGCCTTTGAACAGAACTTAGTTTTGAAATCAAGACGTTTATAAATGTTTATTATTGATTGGCGATTGACTTGAGGCCTAAAAACGTGGACATGTGTAAACGGTGGTGAGAGACGTTTACCGTACCGAACATAGTATATAGTACAGCCGTTCATATGTATTCTTACTTTGAGCAGAACATAAATATTTTCATACGGGTTGTCAATAATATTTACAAGCAATAATATTAGATTTTGTTATTGAGCTGATATTAGTATTAGTAGTGTGATGAATGACACTTGATGAATATTCTGTTTCCTCTGTAATGAAATGTCCCATTGCCATTGGACACGCGTCGCCCACGGTCAATCTTTTCTTATATCTTTCACTTTTGTCTTGACCCCTATACCGTCAATATATACAAGTTTTACATATTCTTCAGATCTCGTGTTTTGTAAACAATGTTTAAATGCGTGAATGACAAGACAGATTCATCCAATCAATTATCGCACGTTGTCTTCGCTTGCCCAGTTCTTTGGCGATCACAAACTGTTCCCACGCAAAAGGCCAACAATCTCCTCCCGAGTGTCCTTTTCCACATGCTTCGGCATAATAGCAATAATTGTATTGATTTACTAGTAGTCAACGATAAGTTCAAAATCAAAAACTTCATTCCCAACTGTTGTCAGGAGAGTAATTTAAAAGAAAATTTATCAACGAAGTTTATTATTTTCGTAAAATTGATTCAATTTACGAACCTATGTATACATCAAAGAATGAAGTCTCCAATAGCAACAATGAATACAACATTGTTTATTAGATGTTTGACCAAGCGCGCACATACATACATGCTTTCTCACGATGTTTGAACCCATCAGAAACCCGGG